CAAGATACTGTCTTTAAAGTTTTGATGAAAATGGGAAAACTCTAGAGGAGCTGGAAGGATTCCAGGCAACACTGAGACCAAGATGAGGTTGGAGAGAGGACTGCAGAGAGCTAGTGGCCATCAGTAGGCACAGAGAAAGGGGAATGCCAGATTGCCTAAGGGGAGATTCCGCTAGGTGCCTTCGACAAAAGGACAACGGGGCCAGGAAGTCTGGGAATTGATAAGGGTAGGGACTGAAGAAATAAACATGAAATCTCAGCTTTTCCTGATGGGAAGTAAAGAGAAGAATGGATTGACCAGATGCTTGCAGAATTCCTTGATGTCAGAGTGAGAGAGCTGTGGTCAGTGGGATCTGTGAAATAAATATTTCAAATATTTCAAAGTCAGGGTGATGGCATTGCCTTGGGAGTGGATATCTAAAGCAGAGTGGAGGCGAAGTTTAATACCGATATGATCAAGGAATTGAGAGGCTTTAGATATTCACAGGGACATTGATTTGCCTCAGGAAAATAGTGGGGTCTGGGTGAAGCAGACAGTGAGCCAGAAGCATGTCTTTAAGGAATGAGGAGGTGGGTGGGTTAGTGACAGGAGGGAAGTAGATTTATAGCGTAGTAATTATCCAATACATGTTAGTTTCTTTTAACAGTTCACATACAAATTAATAAATGATCCTATTTTGTACTTTCACATTAAAATAATATTCCATCCGTCTCTCCACAAACACATGGAGACACAATATATGTCTCTCTTTTTTTTTTTAAAGATTTTATTTATTTATTTGAGAGAGAGAGAGACACAGTGAGAGAGGGAACACAAGCAGGGGGAGTGGGGGAGGGAGAAGCAGGCTTCCCGCGGAGCAGGGAGCCCGATGCGGGACTCGATCCCGGGACCCTGGGACCACGACCTGAGCCGAAGGCAGACGCTTAACGACTGAGCCACCCAGGCGCCCTATATGTCTCCTTTCTCTCTCTCTCTCTCCACACACACACACACAGACACACACACACACACATTCACATATGCTCCTCACTGTTGATATACATTAATCCAGTTTTTAGACAAAACTGACACAAAGAATTGGGGGAAAATGTGTTAAATTGTGCATTTTCTTTTTGTGCTACAGATAGAAAAAAAGATGTACATTTTTTTTAAGCATCGTTAACAATAGCAACTTCATACAGGTGCTCCAACAATAGCTTCTCAAGGTTAGGGGCCGTCCGTGCTGGTACATGCTGAAGAAGCATTTTTTAAAGACAAGATTTTTATAGTGAAAAGAGTGCTTAAGCAGGAGTCAGAAGACCTGATATCCAAGAAGGTTGATCAGTTATCAGGTGTTTTGGGCAAGACATTCAACCTTGCTGAATCTCCACTTTCCCATCTGTACAAGATGGGTGACTTCCACAGCTCCTATAACTTAATGGGGTCTTTGTGAGGATTAAGTAAGAAAGCATACAGGAAATTCCTTTGTGGCCTGTTAAATGCTCAGATAAGCTACCTGAAGGAACACGTGACCTAGTTCCAGCAAAAATTTATCATGGTTCCAACAATACTAATAATATTCTCATTAAAAGGGGGGAATTAAGATTTGGGTCAAATTTATGATTTCTGAAGGAAGGCTACTTGCTTATTGATTATTGATTATTCTGAACTTTGGTGGGAGACTTCTTCTTTAGGTAAGTACCAAAATACATCATCTCTTATATTTCCTTACAAAGGGTGGACTTTGAGCCATCTCACTGGAGTCACCTGATAGGTTTGTTGAAACAGTAGTTGCCTGGACTCGGCATCTAAAGATTCTGCCCTTTGGGCTGAGAACTCAAGAACCTGTATCCTAGCTGATGCTACACACACTAATACTTTTTTATAACAATTTTGTCGAAATATAATTCCCATATCATATAATTCACCCATTTCAAGGGCACAACTCATATTCGCAAAGTTGTGCAACCATAAAATATGAGATCTACTGGGTTATATAAAAGTTTTATGGACGTGGAGACTGCTCTGTGGTTAATGTATAAAGAATCTCCACCCCCCCCCCCAGCCCCAAGTATAAAGATAGATAAAAGACAAAATCATTGCACTCCACCAGACTGCTCTGCTTTCTGAGAGCTGATGGATTTCTGCTAAACATATTTCTTCTATTTTACAAAAGGGTTAGGGGATACTATAGAGAAAATGTAAATGCTGCATAACTAAAGGAGTGTGGAATTTTCCTCCTCCCTGAAAATCTGGCAAGCCCTGGCCTTCTCTTTCCATCTTAGGTATCAGGAAGAGTTTGTAAGGGAAAAGAATCATGATCAGGCTAAGGTTCCCCAGCTCCTCTTAAGGCCTACTTCCTGATCTATAAGTCTTCTTCTCTTCTTAAGAATTCAGGATCAATGCAACTTCCTAATATCTTTAGACAGAGCATGTCTCTAAAAGCTTATTGACATTTTCAGTTTGTCAGCTTCCAGAACTCCATTGTTGACTCTGTTCCATCTCTGTTTAATTAGAGGGGAAAGACTTTTAAACAAAAACACTTCATTGTTTCTGTAAATGGTAACATAAATGGTAAGGTATGAGCCAGAAACACCCAAGGCTTTAGAAGGAGTCACAACCCTATTCAGGCTATGTTTTAGATATTTTGCAAAGTGCTTCTCTTACTCTGTGGGGAATAAAATGTTTTGGAGAAGCATATTGGGGAAGCTAGGTAAGCTGCTTTTCTAGTTTTCACAAAGAGGGTTTCTTATTTAGTGTACAGTACGGTAAGCATCTTTCTTGAGCATCATATTCACTTAAGAGAATTATATATATATTATCTATTTTATCTATTATTATCTAATATTTTATTTATAATATGTATATATTATATATTATAATATGCATTATGCAATCTCTTCCCTTCTAATGGAACTAATAGTCACTCTAAGGAGGTCAAATCAACAACTGAGTTTGATCATGAGGACAAAAACAACAACAAAGAAAACCCATAAACTCTTACAGAGGGTTTAGACCAACAGTTCCTTTTTATAGATGAGAAACTAAGGTTCAGAGAGGTTTGTAACTTTCAGTTAGAGCACACTTCTTTGCTTCCCTTAGAGTAGGTGGTCACACCTTTAGGGCACATTATCTTGAATTAAAGGTAAGAACTCAAATATGATTTTCAGGGTGAAACCTTAAAAGCTGTAATGAAGTAAGTCCTAGTCTCTGTTAATAGTTGAGTATTATGTTTTCAAGATCATACATTAAAATGAAAGCAGAGTACAAGTTATGTTTTAAACTTGGTTATTTTCCATGATGTCAAGGTAAAACCCAGAGAGCAAGATACATTTTAAAGTTGGTTGTTTCCCTCTGCTGTACACAAAGATTGTCAATTCAGTAGAAAGCTCAGCTCAAACCATCTATGAATGGTTTCCAAATTCCAGAGACCTCTGTCTGGGAACATTTTTCAAACCGCTGGTAATATTGCCACATATAGATCCCATCCAGGTTTAAAGCATAGACCCCCACAACATCACCCTCGTTTATAAGTCTTGAAGCTGTCCCTAGTTCCAGGAAATACTTTGTCATCATGCACTTGTCAATTTTTGGTTGCCATCAAACACGTCACAAACTTAACACTCAGTTTTCCCAGTCAGTCTTTCCAGGGACCCAACTCACCTCTCTGTTTGGGTTTCCATGCTGACATTTAGAAAAACAACAGTCACTCAACTCATAAAGCCCTTTCTCATGTTCGTACTAATTTTAATATTGACTTTCTCCTAAAAGCTCCAAAATATTTTAAGGTTTTTTTTTTCCTTTTTTTTTTTTGCAAGATTGAGCTTCCAACTTGTGTTTTTTTAAGTGCTTCCAAATTTTTTCTTAACATATGTTGCACGAAGTCTGTCCTATTAACAGAACCCACTCCTCTTCCACATAGCATAAAAATCCAAAGATTTAGCCTTTCAGAGTGCATTTCTAGGTTGTACCATTAATTTGAGCTTTGTGTTTAGCTCAAATCAATTTGTTTAGATTAGGTTCTCCCAAGTCATTTTATCTATAATCATCAAAGATTCTGAGTTCAAATCCGTTTCTGGAACACCCAATTTAATGTATCTGGATGAGGACACATTTCTTTATACTCTATATATTATATACATTTCTTTATACTTTATAGGGAAGTGAAAGTTTTGTTTTTTTTTTTAATGAACACAGCAGCATAACATTTGATCCTAACATTTTTGAACAGCTCTCCTTTGTTTTCCCCTTCCACGCAGGAAACTCTATTTAAAATTATAGGATTGGATAAATATGTGTATCAAATTAAAATTTTAATTTATTTTATTTTAAGATTTTATTTATTCATTCGAGACAGAGAGATAGAGAGAGCATGAGCAGGGGGAGAGGCAAAGGGAGAAGCAGGCTCCCCGCTGAGCCAGGAGCCAGACGTGGGGCTCGATCCCAGGACCCTGAGATCATGACCTGAGCCGAAGGCAGATGCTTAACCATCTGAGCCACCCAGGCGCCCCAAATTAAGAATTTTAGAGAGGTATAATTTGTGTGATTAAGCACTTTGATGCTAGAATCAGATTGCCTGGGACTGGATCTTAGTTCTACATCCTACCTGTACAACCTTGAAAAGGTTACTAACCTTTCTGCACCTCAATATTTTTGAAGATTTTATTTATTTATTTGAGAGAGAGAGAGAGAGCACAAGCAGGGGAAGCAGCTGAGGGAGAGGGAGAAGCAGACTCCTGACTCCTGGCTGAACAGGGAGCCTGATGCCAAGCTTGATCCCAGGACCCTGGGATCATGACCTGAGCCAAAGGCAGATGCTTAACTGACTGAGCCACACTGGCACCCCTGCGCCTCAATTTTTAAATAGGAATAACAAAAGCTAAATGGAGATTGAGTAGTAAATATATGCAAAGCACTTAGAACTAAGCCTGTCACATAGAAGTAATATATGTTGGCTATTTATATATAAATGCATTTGATTGAATAAAATTTATAGATCAGTTACCAGGAATATAGATGCCATATAGTTTGGAGGCTATACACACGAGATCCCCAGCATACATAAATAGGAAAATTCTGGCAGGAATTTGAGAGAGATTCCTTATTTTTTGCTTACTATTTTGAATTTTTACTTTATTTCATTGTGTTTTTTTTTAAAGATTTTATTTATTTGAGAGAGAGAGCACAGGCAGGGAGACTGGCAGATGTAGAGGGAGCCTGAAGTGGGGCTTGATCCCAGGACCCTGGGATCATGACCTGAGCCAAAGGCAAGCACTTAACCAACTGAGCCACCCAGGCACCCCATTTTATTGCTTTATTTATTTATTGCCTTGAAGAATTTTACACATTGCCTTTAATTTCAACTTGCATCATAAAGAAATAATCCTGTAGTAGGAGGTATTTAAAGATTCTTCTGTGGCTGTTATTTGTGATTAGATTCAGTTTTGATACACATTTCATCATGAGGTTAGGATTTGAATGAAAACTTTTCCAAATGATTTAGATTAATCTGAGCCATCACAGTCCTGGAATTCTTCCATGACAAAGGTACAGAAAAGACCAGAGAAGTCTGCTGAAGAGCAACTTGAGAGAAGGCAGGAGGGTTGCTTGCTTCCACCCATCGGGAATGCAGTTCATAAACACTAACCAGATCTCTCACAGGCTTGGGGCAAGGCCAGAAGCTGAAACAAAGAGTGTAATTTAAGATGATTGATTCTTTATTTACTTTGCTTTGGTTAAAGTCAATGACCCAGGCATTACAAAGATGTTTCTGCTTACAAGTTTGGTTGATGGTTGTTGAAATACTCAAGCTACTTACAACACTTCACTTGTTCATTAAAAGATTGTCAGAGACCATGATAAAAAAATTCTACATTGGAGAATGGAGACCAAGCAGTTTTAAATCTTCAATGGGGATAACATACAGTGCAATTTACTATACAGGTGTATACACACACACACACAAACACACACAAACACACACACCCTGAGATACATAGAGAGAATAGTGATGTTCCTAAAACTTCAGTGCCTCAATAATGATGAAGACTCTCTTAGGGTATATGAATCCAAATCTGTCATAGTCTGTGCAGAGAATTTAGCAATTCATTGTTTGCTGTCTTATGTTATTCTCCAGTCCTGCCATCCAGGTAAATCTCACCTTCCTGAGCAGGTTTCAGCACTTGCATTTTACTGAGCTGTGATTCAACTGTACTAGAGCTTCACAGCAGATATCCTAGCCCTGACCTCAAACTCTCAAGATGTTGTCAAATACGCTGTTGGCAGTACCATGGTAACATGGGCAATGGGCCTCCCAAAGGCAAATATTCTGTGTATGCTCAATTACAATCCATGCCTCTAGATAAGAAGCTCCCAACTAAGGCCAGAGGTCCGACTATCTGCTCTGGGAGGCCAGAGGAATATGCAGTGATAGGAGGAAGGCCACTGTGACTCCTAGCTTAAATGTATGCTCTGCTATCAAAGCACACAACCCATGGCTCATCCGCACTCAGTCTTTCAAGCTAATTTTGGGGCTTGGCCCTAGGAATATAAAAATGAATGATATTTGGCCCTACCATTAAGGACTGTATAGCTAATAAAAATAACACCCTGAAACAACAGGTTTAGGAAGAAACAAAAGAGCACTTGTGATTTGAATAAAGGATGTCTCCAAAGTGAAAAAAGGTAAAAAGAGGAAACGATAATTACATCAGATAAAATAGGTTTTTTTGCCTCTAAAATGGCCAAGTAGGATTTTAACAATGTCCACTCTCTGTAATAAAATCTAAAGCTCTACACATATGTCAGCTCCTACACAAAGGATAAACACCAGCCTTTACGGCTTTGACATTCTGAGATAAGGAGGGTAAATTAGTTACATAGATTTATACAATTTTAAAGTAAGAAATTTCCAGATAATTGATTCAGCTTTACCAGCCTTTAATTTATAATCCCACTTGTGAATCCATAGAGAATCTCATTTAAAAATTAAGACAGCTTTTAATTAGGACAGATCATTAAGCAGGACACTTTGTATTTGATACAAAAAATCCTTGATTATAATATTGTTCCATATTTTAGTCTAATCTCAGAAATGTGTCAATATGTATGTTAAAGTAACTTTCATTGTTTATTATTTTTAGACTATCGATAGTATATAACCCAAATTTGTTTACATTTATGATTTCAAGATAAAAAAGTCCCAGAAGCATATAGGCAGGCTCTATAGAAAGGAACAAAAGGTCAGCTTCCTGACGTGCCTGCACACCACCTTCCCCACACAATGGGGAAACATCTAAAGAAATTTCACGAAAAAAATAACTAAAAATGTTTATACTTGTACAAACTATCTTTCAGGCATGAGGGTAAAGATAGGGATTCTTAGATATGCCTCATCTCAAAAAATATCATGCCCTGGAGTTATAATCTCAAGGAACTCAGAGATGATTCAGAATTAAGTTTTCAAAAATGCAGAAGTAGAGATATGAAAGAAATTGCACAGTTTTTCTTACATCGTCTGGACTCATTAATCCAGTTGAAAACGTGATATTAGATTAATTCTGCAGTTTGGAATAATCTTAATCTGCTATTCTGTTTTTTTCCTGTTTTCTGTTTTTTTCCTGTTTTCTCATTTTTTACTTCTCTTTCCCAATTAGCCAAATACAAATGTTTATGTATTTATACATAAATACAATTTATACAAAAATACAACTTATACAGAACCCCTCTCCATGTTTAATGACAACTTAAATAATATCTGTTGTTCTCTAGTTTTATCACTTGTTTAAAAATGATAAACAGCTTCTCGGTAATGATTCCATTTGTTTATATCTGATCCGTCCAAAAATCTCACTAAAATAAAAACAAAGGAATGAAATAAGATATAAGCCCATGGGAGGAAAAATAATGTGAGAAGAAATTATTGAAGAGAGGTCAATAAATTTGGAAGAAGGAAAGCAGATAGATGAATCCTAAGAAGGCTTGGGAATATACCAGGTAGCTAAAAAGGTGGGAGTGGTGGATAGTATTGAAAATGGAAAGATTATCTGAAAGCCTGAGGGAATGAAAAAAAAACAAAACAAAAAACAAAAACCCAAACCCCAGCTGTGAGCCTCCCACATCTTCTTATCCTCTCTTACAAAGCCACTCAGCTACCCACACAGCACTACCACCACCACTCCTCCCATATAGGGAACTATCACCCTCCCAGGCAGGTTTTATACTTCTGGGTGGATTTCTATCTTTGGCAAGAGTCAGAGATTCATCTTCCAGATTAATTAAATCATAGAGAACCCACACTCCAGGAAACAATGTACATCAGAGAAGGGGAAGTGAGCCCTTGCAGAAAACAGGGAGAATGTGTGAAGTTCCTATAAAATATCAAAACATCTCAGCCCTGTTCCTTGCTCTGCTCCCAGAGGAGATTATCAAACAGGAAACCGGAATGTGTGGTAGGCAGAACAGTGACCTCCTAAAGATGTCCATGTCCTAATCCCCCAAATGTGTGAATACATACAGGCCTAGGGGGAATTAAGGTTGCAGATGGAATTAAGGTTACTAATCAGTTGACCTTAAAATAAGAAGATTATCCTAGATTATCTGAGTGGCCCCAAGTAGTCACCATAGGGTGTTTTAAATATGGGAGAGGCAGAAGAGTCAGAGTCAGAGTGATGAGATATAAGAAAGACTTGACCAGACACTGCTGGTTTTGAAAATGGAAGAAGGCCATGAGCAAAGGAATATGGTCAGCTGGTAGAAAGGAGAAAAGGCAGGATAACTGATTCTCCTATAGACCCTCTGGAAAGAAACCCAGACCTGCTCACACTCTGATTTTAGCCCAGCAAGACCCATTTTGGGCTTCTGAACTACACAACTATGAGATAAACCAGTGTTAGTTTAATCTGCAGTAGCTGAGTTTGTGGTCATTTTTATTTATTTATTTTTAAAGATTTTATTTATTTATTTGAGAGAGAGAAAAAGTACAAGTGGGGGGAAGGAGGTGAGGCAGGCTCCCCATTGAGCCAGGAGCCTGACTCGGGGCTTGAAGTGGGACTTGACCACGGGGTTCAATCCCAGGACTCAAGATCACAACCTGAGCCAAAGGCAGACACTTAACTGACTGAGCCACACAGGCACCCCTGATTTTTTTACAGCAGTTGTAGAAAACTGATACAAAGGACCTGACCAAAATAAAAGGCCAACAAATACTGAGATTTGTACAACTAGGTCCTTCTCCTTTCATCCTGCAGTAGTAAAACCTCAAGTCAACAACCATTCCCCTCACATACACATGCACAGAGCCTCCAATTAGCAAGTAGAGCTTCTAAAGACAAATGACCAACTATCCTTATAATGCGAGTGCAATCTCCAAAATGTAAAATAGAAATAAATATTTTTTAAAAAGATAAAATTTAAAATAGAAGAAACAAATGTGGAAGACTGAAAAATTGTGTTAGAGAAACCTATAATTAATATAATCAGGAAGCTAAGAAATAATGTATCCATAAATCAAGAAAAGCACATTATTGAAGAAAAAGAAGTAGAGAAGGAGAAGAATAAGAGTTCATAGAAATTTAAAAACATGTCAGCAGACAATTGTAAAGTTAATAGAATTTTTAGAATATGAAGTTGGAGAAATCACCCAGAAAAAAATAGTATCAAAGGACAATGGAATATTACTCAGCCACAGAAAAGAATGAAATCTTGCCATTTTCAAAAACATGGATGGATCTAGAGGGTATCATGCTAAGCTAAATAAGTCAGTCAGAGAAAGACAAATACCATATGATTTCACTCATACGTGGAATTTAAGAAACAAAACGAAAAAATAAAGAGACAAAAAAAAACCCAGACTCTTAACTATAGAGAACAATCGGATGGTTACAAAAAGGGAGGTGGATGGGGAATGGGTGAAATAGATGATGGGGATTAAGAGTACACTGATCCTGATGAGCACTGAGTAATGGATAGAGTTCTTGAATCACTATGTTGCACACCTGAAATTAATATAACACTGTATGTTAGTTATACAGGATTTTTTTTTAAATAGTATAAAAGGCAAAAGGACTAGTCACAGGAAAGGGAAAATAAGAAAATCGAGCATGCGGGCGCCTGGGTGGCTCAGTTGGTTAAGTGACTGCCTTCGGCTCAGGTCATGATCCTGGAGTCCCAGGATCGAGTCCGCATCAGGCTCCCTGCTCAGCAGGGAGTCTGCTTCTCCCTCTGACCCTCCCCCTGCTTGTGCTCTCTCTCTCTATCTCATTCTCTCTCTCAAATAAATAAATAATCTTTAAAAAAAAAAAAAAAGAAAATCGAGCATGCAACACAGGAGGTCCACAATCAGGACAGTAAGAATTCCAGAGAATGAGAAAGAGAGAGAGAGTGTGCACGCAAATTGATAAGAGGAAATATTAAAGAGATAATATTAAAAAAATCCTGTTACTGGTGAACATGTTCCCAATGAGTTATTGGTACGAAGAATGAAGAGAGACAGGCATCAAACCGTGGAATGGTAAGATTGCAGAACACCTGTCTTAGGGGTAAGTACTTCCAGAAAGAAAGCAGAGATCACATTCAAGAAAGGGTAAGGGCAAACCCAAGATGCCAGGAGAGTAGGGAAATGCACCATGAGAAAATGGTTAGCCTTGAATTATTTACCTATCCAAACTATCAATCGAATGTG